TATCCAGGAGCTCAGAGATGCCCTGGTCTATAGCTGGGAGCATATCCCCAGGGACACCTTCTGTCATCTCATTTGGAGCACTCAGGGTATCTCTGAATCAAACCCTCTGGAGATAATTTTCATTTCCATTAATGCTGTGGCATCCTTTCATTCCTAAAACATTACCCAGTCCATATCAGCACAGATTTTTAGAATTTTTTCCCCCCGCCGTAGAGATCAGTGTTCCTTGAATTCTTCTGAGCAGCGTATTTCAGAACTCGTATCCGGAGTGACTTCCAAATTCACCTTTGATATTTTATATTCAGTATATTTGTGGGCACTAAACATCACATTCAACAGGCCATTTCAGAGAAAGCCGGCGCTTGTGCGAATGATTAATATGCGTGTCAGCTGTCTATACTTATTGTCAACAGCCATTCACGGTTTGGTACTTTTCTATTTATTACCCAGATTAATTTGGATAGTTCTAAACAATTTAACATTTCTATTATGCAGTTGAAATAAAAAGGATTCCAGAGTGTTGCTTGGAAAATTGGTTCATCCTACTTTGAGCTGAAAGAGTGACTTTTCAGCTGTTAATTTGTGAATCTGTATTGTTCTGCTTTTAAGTAGCTTCTTATTAGATAAGCCCAGACAGTCCGGGAGACCTTCAGAGCTGAGCTTTGACTGATGAATTATACGAACAGCCTGCCTAAGCAGTTCAGCTGTGCAGTGAATTTAAAACTAGTCCTAAATTGCTCTGGTACAAGATGTATATTTCAAGTCAACATGAATATTGGCACACTTTTTAACCAAGTTTTGAACTTCAAACTATGTTGAGTTAATAAATATTTCAAGAATTTAAGATATAGTAGCGACCAAAAATACAGAACATGTGAAATTGTACTTTTTCAAATAACTGTATGCGTACATCAAGTTTAATCAAAAGTTCAGAGAACAGGTCAATAATGAATTTTTAAGGCTTATCTGATAATTTCCCATTTAAAATCATCATTCCATGCACCTCTGGGGCCATTTTTAGCTATTCTGCTATTAATAAATCATTTTACAGAAGAAGCAAAAAACCCTCTTGCACTTTGCTCCTACCCTCTGATACAGCACAATGCTGGGACGCAACATAATTCATGTGATTTCTACTGAATGTTATAACTAAGGTGACTCGGGACAAAAATCCACATTGACATTCTCACTCCGTTTACGGAGCAGAACCTGGTGAATGCCGAATAAAATGACGAGCATGCTCCTGCTCTGCATTCCTGATTGGAAACTATGGGCCCTTCAACTGAAAACTGCTTAGTCATTTTTGATCCTTCACACTATTTGAGGTCACTTTTAAGCAGATGTTACAAAAGTTGGGGTCCACAGCAAAACATCAAAGTGCACAGTGCAAATGTCAGAGGGAGACTTTCAGGGAGTGATCAAAAAAAAAAAGCAGCAGTGTTGGAATCCATGCGGACATTCAAGATTATCTTAAATGGAAAATCAACTAAGTTTCAATCAGATTAAGTGTTTGACTTTTATGAACCTCTGAACTTTTTTGCATACCTTATATGTATGTACTTTTTTATTTTTTTACATGCATTTTAGTCAGATTGTATGTTGATATTAATTGATAGTAATTATTGATTTTTTTTTTTTTTTTTTAGTAATTATTGATATAATCATAACTAATGACTACATATCCAGAGCTTTTTAAGCTCGCTATTGAGAGGGGAACTTCCACACTGTGCATTGAGAGATGACTCATGGACTTGGCTATGACCTCCTCAGGAGGAAGACACACACATAGCATTTGCTTTTTATCTCTTCCACTTTTCATGGCATCTGTACTGCGTGTGGCAGAATCACTCTCTATGAATCAGTACCAAACACCATCAACAAGCTCATAAATTACAAATTAAAGTGACTGTTAGTTGCTCAAGGCCAAATAATTGTATCTAAGTGTGACATGCAGTGTAATCAGATTTTATAGTTCTCTATTTTTCATATTGTAAAAAGGAAAATCTACCCTGAAGCAGAATTTACATTGTGCTATTCTGACAAGTTTAGCAGCTGAGTCATTATCAACAAGGATGTGTTTCAGTGTGCAGAAAATCATAGCATCAAGGTTTGACTTGATGATATAATGTGGCATCTGTCGCACAGCCAGTTGAGTCGCTTGCACTGAATTAGTAACAGACTCTATACCAGTTCTACTGTACCCTAATGAGCCATTTTCAAACACAAGCCACCCATAATGAAGGTTAAAAGGGTAAAATGTCACATTTTTAATTTCTAGTTCAATTTCTCACTTGACAGCCCGGGTGTAGCTCATTTCCAATTAGATCAATACTGCAAAGCCTCTAAATCCTTTTCTTTGGCTTGTTCTTATAGGTCAATCTCCTGTTGACACCATCCTGACTAATATATCATACATGATACTATTCACACTTAAAAACAAAAAAAGCAACAACAATAGTAACATATGTTCAAACAGTCTGCTTCAGGGTTTTTTTTTGTTGCAGTAAAGGGAATGCTGTTGGGAATATATTCATACGTCGCTTTCTTTCTTCATTCCTGCCTGCAAGCCGCCAAAGTGCTGGGAGATAAACCAATGCATATGGTGACAGAAGTGTTTACGCCCTCATGAAAAAACAAAACAAAATACATACACACATGGAAAACAGCATTTTCAGCTCCCAGACTGGATTCCCCATTAACTGGTTACCATGCTCACTAACAATCAGTAACTCTTAGATACGTGCATAGTACTGCCAACTACTGAGTGATGAGCTGATATAAGGCACTAAAGATAAATCCACACTGACTGACTATATACATCTCTCAAGCTCTGCTTCCCTATCTTGGCAGCAGAAAAGAACTGAAGATGTCTTAGCTGTAAGCAAAGGACACTGTAGGGGCTTTGCTTTAAGATATAAAGTGGCCATTGTTATAATTTTGTGCTATATTAATAAAACTGCATTGAACAGAATTGAAGTCCTGGCTGGATTCTGAATTTAAATAGTTTACAGAAATTTCTGTGCATGTAGATTTGCAATTTCTGAAACCTCATCACAGTTAAATTACACAGACCTGTGTCTTTGAAGCAAAAATTTTAAGTTCTTTGCAGACAGCTATTGTTTTCACTTGTGTCAATGTAGCACAACATACCAGACACTCAAGTCTGGATGTGGAAAGTGTTATGTGGACTAATGCAGGTTAATTAAAATACAGATTAGGTGTAATCGCGTCAGCTTTTGTTTGCAAAGTTCTTAAGCCTTATTCATTGTACTGTTTTATGCTGTATTTTGAAAATATGATTTTCCTTCACTGCCTTTGGTTTATTTGCTTTGGGTTCCTACTTTTGTGCTTTTCTAACCAGCCCTGGCTCATTTCACCCATTCCTCCTTGTTTGTTTAGTTTGTGTGCGCTCCTCAACACTGTTAAGCTACCTGAGCAGCTTTAGTTATTTTTTTTATGCTTCTTTCACCACCCCAGTTTTCCATGTTTCTAATATGTGTAGTCTCACTACTAAGTTCTGGACTAAAATTTTCTTTTATTAGAATGGTCTTCCCAACAAACATCTGCATTTGGATCGTCTTTGAGCAGAACATCTAGGAATCAGGAAATCAAGTACCAAGGTAGCAAAAGATGAGCAGTTGTCCAAATAGCTGTCTGTTGGCAAACAGCTCAAAAAGGTTTTCTCTCTTTCGATAAAACTCAATTTTTCCACATAGAGAATTCAATATAGAATAGAACACCTGACTTGGGGATAGTCTATATCTGCTAAATCAAAAACATCTTCAACATGGAGAACAACAACAGATACAAAACACATGAGCCAAAATGTTAACCCCTCCTAACACACTCCTATCTGGTCTTTAAGTCTGACGTCATTAACCGTTTCCAGGTCCAAACTCCGCTTCAGGTTCCAAAGTCAAACGAACACTGCAGCATCACTGACAGTTACAAACTGTCTAAATTCTTTCATAGGTAATAAAATGATCAGTGTTGCTGCTTTAACATCCAGTCATCCATGAAAACAGAATTTATGATTTTTAACAGAGTTGGAAGTTAGCAGGGAGTTAGCTCGCTAGTTTCCATCTATGACAGTTCAGGTTCTGACTGAGGGATTATTGAAAAATTAAAACATACAGCTCTGCTGTCACTTCCAACATAAATGAAGACAGAAAACTAAACAGCAGTGATGTTTGTAGGGTTACTGAAGTTTGACTAGCAGGAATATAACGATGTGCTAGCTAGAGAGCTGTGTTTAGCATAATATAAACACAGTGAAGCTGATGAACGCCAACTTTTTTCTGCTCGATGAAGTTAACTTGAGGGTTCAGGATGGTTAGGGACAAACGCAATCGCATGGCAGGACGCTGTAAACAGGCCGTCGTCACTTAACATCTGGATAAGCACTCTGGATGGTGGTTTCATGAAACAATGTCAGGCACAATCAGATCACTGCCAACCATTCCCGCTTGTGTTTTATCCACATGCTATACTCACACATTTTGAAAAATTACAAATGGAAACTTTTCTAATTAAATCTCGCAGAGTAGGTATGCTAATACAATGTCACTATCTTTAATGGACCGCGGACTAAGAGCTCTGGCAAAGTGTCTCATTTCACAATTCACAAATTTAATTTCACATTTATATTCCCACTTACTAATATATCACTTCACAGTGTCAGAGTAGCAAGCGCTCTGCCATAAGCGTCCCCATCTGCTAATGCGGGCAAAAAATGTTGCCTACTGGCCAGAAGGCCTCCAGATGAAGGGTCCAGATGTGCTCTAACACTGATCGAACTGATATCAACAAACAACAGTTAAAGGAATGCTGACGAAATCTGTTTGACCGTGATTATGGCCACGACTGTAGGGGATTATTAGCTGCAACTGGTAGAGCGTATTTCAAAGTATTTGCCAACTACGTCTATGGTCTTTGTAGTTCACTTTAGGCCAATTCCCCTAAAGATGCTTTTATAGTACATGTAACCACTGAAAGGATATAATGCTCCAACAGATGCCCAGCTTGCTGTTGATCTGACAGCCTTGGGCGTGCTGTCGCTCCTCCTCCAGCTGTTTGGGGTTACTGAAGCGAATACTTTCTTGGTCCGGCTGTGGCAGACTCTCAAAGTCAAACTTGTCCACCTGGATGGCCATCCTGGAACAGGAAATGGGAGAAGCACTTAGGTGTACACTCGTACTTATGTAAGTTTTCACCCGCCAAAAGGAAAAGGTTTATGACTCTGGAAATAACCCTTACATAACTGTCATTTAAAACTTTGAAACTAAGTTAAAAAAGCATGAATGACATGAATTTTTATTGAGTTCAAATTGCTCACAGCTGATATTTGAGCTACTGTTAAGCTTTGGAAATGACCAAATATTAAAAGTTAAAATAAAAAATAAAACAACAAAAATATAAAACATCAATATTTAGCAGGTTCTTGAGATAATTTATGATTGCATTTTTATATACATATATTTGTATACAACAAAACTACTGAGAGACCTCAGTGTTAGCAGAGTACAGTAACAGTATGAGAAGTCTTGGAGTCATTCTGACTAGTATTCGTCTTTCTGTGTCCGCGTTAAACAAATATGGAGTACTACCTTCATTCATTTGCACAATATCACTAAAATTAGAAATATCCTGTCTCAGAATGATGCTGAAAAGCTAATTCATACAGTTATTACTTCTAAGATGGACTATTGTACTCAGTTATTATCAGGTTGTTCTAAAAGCTCCCTGGAAAGCCTTCAGCAAGATTACTGACTGGGACTAAAAACAGAGACCATATTTCCATGAGAGGTGGAAAGAGAAGAACTGCGGTAAAGCAGGTGGCCATTACACAAGTTTTACGAAAAGTGACACAAAAATCAGAATTTCCAGATCCAAACTTGTCATGAAATGCATACGCACACTGAACGTGTTGTGTTTTTGTAGCAAATTCTAAAAACGCACTGTGAAAATAACAATGCCAGAATCAAGCAATGATGAGCTGGATCTGATGTTTCTAAACAAGAAAAGGAAGCAACAGGGATTCTGCGTTAATCCAACTCTCACGAGAATTCAGGACCAGGGAGAATTTCATAGTTTGACCCAGGAGATGAAACTGTATCATGGTTGCTTTAATATATATGGTATGATATTTCAGGATCTCAGTGGGGCAGTTTGAGCTGTTAGCAGATGTGGGACCAGATCTGAGGAGGCCATGAAATCATTTCAGGGAGCCAACTTGTAGCAACATCTAGCTGTACGGAGGTAAAATTGTACTATTTACTACACGTGGGCGATCGTGGCTCAAGAGTTGGAAGTTTGCCTTGTAAGTGTGTGAATGGGTGGATGACTGGATATGTAAAGCGCTTTGGGGTCCTTAGGGACTAGTAAAGCGCTATATAAATACAGGCCATTTACCATTTACCATTTAATCGGAAGGTTGCCGGTTCGAGCCCCGGCTCGGACAGTCTCGGTCGTTGTGTCCTTGGGCAAGACACTTCACCTACCACCTACTGGTGTTGGCCAGAAGGGCCGATGGCGCGATATGGCAGCCTCGCTTCTGTCAGTCTGCCCCAGGGCAGCTGTGGCTCCAACTATAGCTGCCTCCACCAGTGTGTGAATGTGTGTGTGAATGGGTGGATGACTGGGTGTGTAAAGCGCTTTGGGGTCACTAGGGGAGACTAGTAAAAAGCGCTATACAAATACAGGCCATTTACCATTTACATGTCATTGTATACTACTGTATACAGCAGTACTTGAACTACAAGTGCACTTCTTGCCAAACACAGCAGCATACCAGTGTGAGCAGCTCCATTAAGAATGGGTGAGTTGAAAAATATATTTAGCACATAAAATACATGCATGTATTTTATGTGTCTGGTGTGTAAAGGACTTAAGTCAGGAGTGGGAGAGAAATATGCAAGGCTGGTGCAGGACTGGTACGGTAAATGGATGGAATGGACTGGTTCTTATGTTGCTCTTTTCTACTGTAGCTGAAGTGCTCTATGCAATATTCACCCATTCATATGCATAGGTGCATTTTATCTAACATTCACATGGATGTAGTGAAGGAGGATGACGGCAGATGATTCGGTGTTGTGCCCCCTAGAGGGAACAGCTGAAAGAAGAAGACAGAAAGAGAAAGAAGAAGAGCAGGACTAACTGAGCAGAGGAGACTTCAATTCAAGTCCATGGAGTAACTAAAAAATTGATGTGTTCAGGGTCAATGTTACTTTTTCTTAGATATAGTTCATACTGTAACTAGCTGTAACTACATTCAAACATTTAAAATTGTGATTATCCAATATTAACTATATACTTCATCAAATTACAGGACACATTTTCTCATTATCCCGCAACAGATCTCAGCAGAAAACCTTGCATACACCTCAGCATGATGGCAGCCAATGCAACCTGCCTTTGTGTGGTTTGGCCAGTGCTGAATTATTTATCTAGTCTGAGCAAACACCCTCAGGTGCAAGTTTCCTCGTCTATACTGTGGGTGTTTCTAAGTTATTTATTAACAAAAGTCAGGCTCATCTTTGCCCGAGGTTACCTCAAATGTCACATCCAGGATTCAGACTGTACTTGGAACAAACTAGACAGACCTTCCCTGCACGTGTGGGGAAAAAAGAAGAAGAAAATGACATACAAGACCACTTGTAATTACCTCTACATTATTCAGGACTTCTATTCAAAGAGGACTAGATCCCATTGGATCCATTCTTTCCCTGCCTGCATACAATTCAGAGTGAATTACATGTATCCTAGCACACCGATACTAACACACAATCATCAGGGATTTTTATAAGGCAGGCAAGAACAATCGCAATGAAGGGCTTTGAAACCTAGCATAAGGCTTACACCAGCTATGGGCGTGTGTTGCATTTTCTTTAACTTATGATTCGTCCTCAGAAAACCATGTAGATAGATAACAATTTTAAAAGGAAGTTTTTATGCTTTTCCAGTTCATTTTTAGTAGCATTGTACGATTAAGTTCAAAATAATTCTTCTTTACATTATGTTTCATTCAACAAGTATATTATACTTTGTCAAATTCACTGTCTTAGGAAAACTATTTCACCTCACTTTCTTCCTTTATGCTAACCTTAGCATAAAGGACCTTAGATAGCCCCCAAAGACATATGGTTTGAATCACACATGAGTGGGGGCTTATGTGCTCACAGCCAGACCCTGTTTGCCTCAGTCACACAAACCTAGAGACTGGTTGGTGACTGCCTGGCAACCAGTGGTCGCTAGGGAAAAATGAACATTGCCTGACTGATAATGAGTGGTTATTGACAGTCATGTGAGCCAAGACACCAATCAGCGGCTCCCTGGTAACCATTCACTGCTGCACCAAAAACCTCATCGCAGTTGTTTTGGTCACAAGCAGCTTGCCACAGTCACCTGTAGTTTGTATGGAAGGCACATTTCTGCAACCAATTTCATCCAGTGACAACCAGCAACCACATGCCAACAGGTCATGGAATACTCAATGACATCATGAAGAGACATTTTGGTTGTTTAGAGCAGTTTAACGCCACAGATTCTGGCTCAGAGGAGTTACTTCTACACACATCAGCCTAAAAATGTGTCCTTGTTTAAAATGAAGCCAAAATTATAACCATATATGACAGAAAATATGAAAAAGAATAACAAGCATCTTTTGCTTGCCATCATCCATTGAGCAAGCACAGCTAAAAGAAGTTCAATCAGCAGCTAGCAGCTACAAACATGTGTTTCTGTCAAGTGCTGATAGAGACATGACTGCACTTTTGTGGATGATGTTCCTCATCTGCTAGATGTTGTAATATGCAGATGTTTGGTTAAAATTGCCTGTTTTAGAGTGTTGCTAAACCGTGCAGCCACTTATTGCAACTTTTACCACAATACAATTGAATGCATTTTAAAGGGTTTTATGCATGCAGCCAGTGAAACTAGGTAATCCTTCGGCTTATTACAAAACTATTAAATTCCTTTTGCAATCTGAAACAAGAAAAAAAAATTCTACAGCAGCACTTAACAGCAGACAAGAAATTTATTAGGCCTGTCTTACTGGTGGCATGATGATGTTTTGCTGTAAACCTGTGAGGCAGACGCCAACATACTACCTCACATAGAAAGTTCAGAACAAAAATGAAATCATTAGCAGTCTTTCTTCCTGCTTTTATTAGTCTTATCACTCTCTACTTTGAGAAATGAAACGATCACTTTTAGTTCTCTAGTCACCTGCAAATCACCCAAACATCCATCAGGTAGCATGGAGGCTAACTTAAACTTCCTGCTTACCCCCAACCAATCATAGCAGAGAGCTGTCCCTCCCTGAGCCTGGTTCTGACAGTTTTCCTTCCCACTGTCACCAAGTGCTAGTTCATATAGGGCCATTTGATTGTTGTGGTTTTAATAAAGTAAATATTAGTCCTTTATTTATCCAGGTAAAAGATGTCATTTTCAAGAGAGACCTGGCAAGTGCCTTGAGACAATGGTTGCTGTGATTTGAATGAACTTGCAAAAACAGTTTTGATAAAAGTCGTGTCTCCCTCACAGTTTGTTTCTAAGCCTTAAGGTTGAACCACTGCTCTGACAGGAATCAATATGTAAGACCGCTTTCTTCCATTTGCGCAACATCTCTAAGATTAGAAATATCCTGTCTCAGAGTGACGCTGAAAAACTAGTTCATGCATTTATTACTTCCAGGCTGGACGACTGTAATTCATTATTATCAGGATGTCCTAAAAACTCAGCTGAAAAGCCTTCAGCTAATCCAAAATGCTGCAGCAAGAGTCCTGACAGGGACTAGAAAGAGAGAGCATATTTCTCCTGTTTTGGCTTCCCTTCATTGGCTTCCTGTTAAATCCAGAATTGAATTCAAAATCCTGCTCCTCACATACAAGGTCTTAAATAATCAGGCCCCATCTTATCTTAATGACCTTGTAGTACCATATCACCCTATTAGAGCACTTCGCTCTCGCTCTGCAGGCCTACTTGTTGTTCCTAGAGTATTTAAAAGTAGAATGGGAGGCAGAGCCTTCAGTTTTCAGGCCCCTCTTCTGTGGAACCAGCTTCCAGTTTGGATTCAGGAGACAGACACTATCTCTACTTTTAAGATTAGGCTTCAAACTTTCCTTTTTGCTAAAGCATATAGTTAGGGCTGGACC